ATCCAATGTGTTTTTTTCCAGTGCCAGTGCAGGTGAAATATACAAATTTTATCATACAACCCGGCATCGGCTCCACCAAAGACAATGCGACCAAATTAAACGAAGGAACCAGGTCACGTTTCGAAGAAAAAATGAGTTAGGAGTAGTTTTGAGCTTAAATTTGTGGTCGCACATTCTCTCCTGTCAAAAATTCGAAGTCGAGAGAGAATCCTTTGAATGTGAAAAGAAAGGTTGAACTTTATCCGTAACGTTGCATCTCGTGGAGGAATATAAATTCAAAGCTCTTTTCCTCGGTAAGATTGTGATGTGCCTTAATTCCTTCTTGTTGTAAGTGTATAAAGCATGCATGGAGATAAGTTTTACCTAAAATCACACTGGAAAAAAAAAACACATTGGATTTAGAGTCCAGACTCATGAAAACATCGACAAGAAAAAATACTTTTGATTCAATCGGATTTTTGCTTGAATCAAAACGAAATCCGCTTAAATTAAGAGGCTTGGTTCTTGATTTAAGCCAGATTTTGAATGATGAATCAAGAACTTGGTAAAAATTGGCAGTAGAATCTGTGTTCCAAAATGCCATAGACCTATAGCCGGCTGTAAGATTTCCAATCGGTTCTGCAGCCGGCTGTACAATTTCTTATAGCCTTTTACATATAGCCGATGGCAACTAAGCAAGAGCCAGACGATAAAGTTTATGCTAAACGTTACTAAATACGGATACCAGAACTGAGTTAGTTTTTGGACTACCGCTCTCTTTTTGTGCCGTAGTATCTTGATTTATTTTGCGAGGAAAGCTCCGTACTTTTGAAGGATGCCTGTCATTCTTAATATATTGGAGCGCCTTCAATTTCTTATGATACTGTGCAATACCTCTGGTGTGAAATAGTTGCTTCAGACGCCGTGGCACGCTGCGGCGCGGCAGGCGGGCAGAGAGCGGAAACGCGCGCAATGCGTGAAGTATCCCTGTTAGGTTTGTAGGCGCCAGTGCGTTGCCGCTCCGCTTTGTGTTAGGCTCCAATATTTAATCTCGCGGAGTCAGCGTTTTTCAACTCATGATTTTTCTGTATGGATTATTCTCATTTTAATTGATGAAAGAAAAATATGTTTTAAAAGTAAATATAACGTGTGTTTTGTAAATATTAAGGTAGTTCCATATCAAACTTAATGATTTTCAAAGCACACGAATTTCCACACAATTTATTATAGCCTTGTATAGCCAATGGCGATAAAGTGTAAAGCCCGGCGATAGGAACTACAGCCCGACTGTATAATTTTTTATAGCGTCGTATAGCCCTGCTATATGATTTGCTCCGCTTTCTACAGCCAGCTAAATGATTTTCAATACCCTTCTTTAGTCGGCTATAAGAACTCCTGTGGTATTTTGAAACGCAGCTCTTATCGCCAATTTTAACCAGGGGAGTACTTTTTCTTGTCGGTGTTTTTAAGAGTCTGGACTCCAGATCCAATGTGTTTTGAATTCCAGTTCATCAGTATCTGAATGTTGTCCAAACTGCACTTATGCGCCTTGTCCTCCAAGCCCCTCGGATGTAGTTACGTTCTTTCGTGAGGGAAACGACTCTATGAATCAATAACATTTTCTCGTGCAAATTCTCCCCTGCAAAACCCGTCGCAAATCTCATGCCGTGGGTGTTTACTCCGTAAATTCAGATTAAGGCCGGCCTTTGTCCAAACAAAACTNACCCCCCCCCCCCCCAACAATGGGTTAATATCACCTAACCCCCCAACCCCCTTCCATCCGCCCTCACGGAAAATATGAACCGGATAGTGCCGAACCCTCTCGTATTCATCAGCATTTGGCGCAATTGAAGCGAACTTTTACGAGCGACATAAAAGGCCTGCAGTTTTAAAGCGGGAGGCTGTTTCAATTATTGCCCGTTGAGTGGTTTTTGCAAGTCCCGGGCCCCGCGAGGAGCCTACGCGACTTCGCATTCGAATCGTAAAAAGCGCGCGCACCCCGAGCGATTTTATAACGTTTTTTACGGCTCCTCGACCATTTTACGGTCTTTAGACGCGGGTTTAGGGTTTATTATGTATGTTACGCATTAAATTAACATTGAAAATCATGAGCAGTAGCCAGCGCGTACAGTTGCAAAAGGTGGGGTTCCCAGCGCCTTCCAATTAAAAATGCGCTGTTTCCCGCTTGCCATCGGGTTTCATCTGAAAACATCGTACAGTGGGAAAAGTCGTCGGGAGGGTTCGGACACGAAATGTTTGATTCTAACTGCTAATTTGCCTGTGTTATTTCTTTTCTTTACGTTTCTCAAGCACTGGAAAAAAAACACATTGGATCCAGAGTCCAGACTCTTGAAAACATTGACAAGAAAAAGGACTCTTGATTCAATCAGATTTAAGCTTAAATCAAGAACCAATCCTCTTAATTTGAGCGGATTTCCTTTTGATTTAAGCTTAAATCGGATTGAATCAAGAGTACTTTTTTTTGTCGATGTTTTCAAGAGTCTGGATTCTAGATCCAATGTGTTTTTTTTTTCTAGTGAGGGGTATGCCTCATGAAGAAAGTTTTAAGAGAAAACATATGGAATTTTTTTCAAACTTTTGCATTTTCCATTGAAGAATATCGTGGAACGCACAAAAGGCGTAAAGGACAAGGCACATAAGTCCAATTAATAAAAAAAAAAAAAAAAAAAAAAAAAAAAAAAAAAAAAAAAAAAAAAAAAAAAAAAATATTATTCCAACTAAAACTAGTATTAAAATATACTCTGTGAAAAAGTAACCTCTTAATTCCAAGTTTAAGCATAAAAAAATGAATTGAAACTTTTTTCCCGCCGTGAGGCTACCTGTAATTTGGAACTTCAAACACGTATTTAAAAAAGCAAAAACCCCACTTACGCGTCTTGTCCTTTAAGTCCCTCGTATCAGTGGCGAGGCGTTAATGATCGATTATCGATATTGCCCCATTTGAAGCTGTGGTGAAGAATCGATTATTAAGGTGTTTGTTGCGAACACCCTATGTTTATCGATTCTTTTCCATAGGTTTAAATGACGGATCAATCGATATATCATGCTCGACGTCCTCAATTGACTCGTCCCGTGTGCGTGATATGAAATTTCGAAAATTGCCCTAAATTTCCCCTGGTACAAGATATCATTTTTGACGAAATTAATGAATACTTTTCCTTGAATTTTGTATATTTCACATCAAAGTGCGAATACAATTTAGAAAAGCACTCAAGATTTTGCCTGTACATTTTTATTTTACCAAAGGCAAGTTGGCAACGGGCCAACGGCTTTTACGAGGTTTTTCCACACTGTAGTAGATACGGTTGAATAAGGGCCGCAGGTGGAAAAACTTAATTTCATTAAAAATTGAACTTTTATGGTGAAAGCATAGTGATAGCTGTGTACATGTAGGCACGGGCCCTTCATTGCGTTCAGAGACAATTTTTGTTTGTTGAATATTCCTTGAAAGGTTTTAACTTTCGCTCAAAAATCCCCGGTTTTATACTACTAAAAATATTACTAAAAATTCTAGAGAAACCTGAGAAAAATAATCTTAGGCTCAGCATCTTCTATACCAACATGAATGAGTATTATTTAACTCTTTTTTCTAATTTGACATATTAACCAATGATATCTCACAATTGTTGTAAGCTGCGTTTTTTAGCGGAAAAACATAACATTTTAAACCTGCAATTAGTTCTACTTAGACCTCTCATGTTTTGAATTTATGGATGGGTATATCCAGTGGAGAGCTGAATTGTGTTAATTCAGTATTCTGATTTTTGGATCAATTAATTACCTATATTTTTTCAGACTTACATATCGTTTTCTAAAAACTTTTTTTATAAACCCAATTATTTCAACCCGATTATTTTAATGTACTTATTTCACCTATTAGGTGCTTGTGTTTGTTTAATTCTGTTCGTAGAGACTAGACTGATAATATGAATTCGAAATACATTTCTGTGATCGAATAAAAAAAAATTGTCTTCATTCCTACCCCTGACAAGCAATTCCTCCTTTTCAGAAGACTAGATACACAGAATCAATCACTCAACTAAGAAACTAAGCCCAAAATAAGTGATTATATTACTCCAATAAGTTAAACTTACTCTCAGAATAATTGTACATATATGTTTTTACAGAACGGATCAATGTACACAGAAGAGTCTGTGAAACAACGTATTGTCCGTGATAGAGCTGTGACTTGTGCGTACTTTTCTAACGTATCATTTTCACATAGATAAGTGCTCATTTTTCATGTTTTATTTTTAGGTTCACTGTTATCTTCTTTAAAAAGTTCTATTGCTCTTGACACTTTGACGAAGTATTTCAACTAGTTACCCTGAAATTGTCAATGAGACAGTTGCGCTTGTCTTAGAATCGCGTGTTTTGATGATGGATTCTAGTCAATCAGCTTAAAATATTAATATCCGTCCAGACATCAACTTTCTACGAGATATTAACCGAGATATGGCGCTTTGAAAAATTCGGTTCATGACGTCATCCACCGCGGTAGTGACATCCTTGGTTTCTTCCACCTTGCTTTCATCTGAGTTACACGTTCAGTAACCAGTGCAAATGTGTGTTACCGTGGCTGATGATTAAAGCAAGATAGAAGAAACCAAGGGTGCCATTACCGCGGCAACGCGGCGTATGACGTCATAAATCGAATTTTTCAAAACGTCACATCTCGGTTAATATTCAGCGTAGAAAGTTGCTGTTTGGGCAGATTTTATTTTCTTTAGCTGATTCACCAGAATCAGGCACTAAAATACGATTCTGTCACTAGTGCAACTGACCCATTGAGCCTTTTAAACAATCACATCAGCTCTGAAAATCTTATCAATTGCTTGGATTATTTGTTCAATGTAACACTCTTTTTATAAGTGAAATTGTCTTTTCAAACTTAGAGGGGACAGTCAGAGGGCATGTGTCTACGGCATCAGCGCAGAATACTCTCTGGACCTTTCATTCATTCATTAATTCTTGTTAGGTCTTGCAATGAAACACCAAAATAATGTCATCCACTTAAATTTTAATCATACTTTAAAAAAATGATTTAAAAATCCAAAAATAATACAACATATTTAATATGTTTAGAACAAAAACTTTCTATTTACACAACAAACCGTTAAAATTAAAAAAAAACTGAAATCCAGTTACGCCAGCTGAAATGAAACCTGAAATTTCTACAGGGACAATTGTCCACAATTTTTCCACAAGGAAATAAGACAAACGAAATCCCTACGTTCATCTCAATCGTCGAAGGAACGTCTTCTTACAAAATTTACCTACAACAGCAAAAGTTAGTGATAGGTTTCAAATAAGGTTAAAAGAGAGCATAAGCCATGGAAAATACATCGAAATCTTAAAAATGAGTGTCACCTAATAGTAAATTGGAAAAGAAGAGAAGGAGAAATCTACTTCACTCTCATCTTTTTTTCATCTGTAGTGCTATCGCACAATCTCTGGATAATATCTCAATATCTATGGATGTCTTATAGTAGTGATCTCATATAATGAGTATTTAGGCGTATTTCTGCCAAAGAGAACTATGTGCATTATGATCCCTGTTATGCATATATTCTTATTGTTCTCAGGGCTCATGTCTCAATGCATATAGCTCCGTTTGGCAGAAATACGTCCATTTGTCATACAGAATTTTATCGACTCCAATATTTTAATTCTGGATTTCAGTTAGGTAGAGAAGGAACGCCAAAATAATGTTATTACAAAATTGAAAACACTTATTTACATATACACAAGGTATTGCAGGATTACATCCTGTATCAGGGAAATATAACCAACCATGCGCAGCATGGACTAATTATTAAGATTAGTGCCAACTCAGGTTACAGGTCATAAATTCAGAAGAATTCCGAAAAACTTAATTTTAGCCATAGAACTAACAATAAGTCTACAGTAATTATTAGTACATAGATGGTCGCGTTTAATGAATGCTAATTCCTTCTTCAAATCACATGATCGTTTGAGAGACGTGACAGAAGCAGTGAAAACTCGGCAATAATCTAGCGAAACTGACCGTCGCAATTTCCTCGTATTATTACCGCAGCATGTGAGTGGCATATTATTTCAGAGGGGAACAAAAAGGACGGAGGCTTGTACGCTTTTTTGTTGAAGAACGCATTCTTCCGAGAAAGTACAAATCGCATCATGCCATATTCTGCAAAATAAATGCTCTTTTATGACATGTAGCGATTCCAAAACAAATATCCCTCAAGTCTAATTCAATTGCTTGAAGACCTGTGGAAAAACCAAAATTTACGGTACGGTGTTGTAACTACAGAAGAGCCACTGACAATAAGTACTTAGCTGAATAACAATATAATTTATAAAGTCTCTGAAAATTTGATCCGTGGCAAATCAAGAATGGTCGTAAGTTCAAAAATTCAAAAGTTTCCCCTTACAAATTAGTAAATTTACTCCGTCACGTGCGGAGCTACCAGTGACAAAGCAGGAGACCCTTTAGCGTGAACTGTTCAGAACCTGTCCATCAGGCCTTTCTAAAGTATCCATTGATCAGGCAGGGCATAAAGAGACGGTCGCGACAATCTGATGGTCCGGGCACACATTGAACATTTGGACATTGGACATTTTGTAACTAAAGAAGGACCACTAACAATAAGTACTTAACTGAGGAACAATACAACTTGTAACGTTTTTGAAAATTGGGACGTGGCAAATCAAAAATGGTCGTTAGTGCAAAAAGGCATCCATTGCCCCTACATATTTCTAAATCTGCTCCGACACGCCCGGGGCCAATTCATGAGATTGTAAGCACCAATCATGGCAAGACGATCAATTTGTGACAAACAGGTTTGAACAACCTGATAAGAACCTGAGCCACTTGGAACCTGCCCATCGGGCTCACGTATGAATCTGCCTCCTCGATCAAGTGCGAGCGCTCGGCACGTAACAAACAGGTTCAAACAACCTGATAACAACCTGAGGCACTTAGAGCCTGTCCATCATATCGATCAGGTTAACCTACGAGTTTCGCAGCTTGATCAGGTGCAAGCGCTCAGCGCGTAACAAACAGGTTCAAACAACCTGATAACAACCTGAGGCTCTTAGAGCCTGTCCATCATATCGATCAGGTTAACCTACGAGTTTCGCGGCTCGATTATGTGCGAACGATCCATTCGTGATGGACAGGTTCGAACCTAAAAAATCAACTCGGGACCTCTGAAACCTGTCGATCAAGCCGAGTGACCTTCGTGGCGAATCTATGAGTCTGGCGGCTCTGTCGTGTACTCGTCGTGGGTGCCGACGATGAGGTCCCGCGTGGACAGGTTTTGACAACCACGGTACTTTTGTGACATTTCCAGCGCCGAGGGCGGGGGGTTCAGGTGACACGGCGCCCCCATCAGGGTCGTGTTCAGTAAGCCTGATTGTCGTCCGACGTACACCGAGTGGTCCGACTCGTTGAAAGCGTGACGGGAACCCTGTAAACAGATGAGGAAAAATGATTAAAATTTGCAAATTTAGGCAAGAAGCATAGAAAAAAAAGGAGGTGTTTGCATCTTGAGGTTTGTTTACCCTGTGACGTAGGTCGGTACAACCTGGCCAGCGAAAACCGGAATTCGAAGTATGAAAAACGAACCACCATGTCCCATTTTTTGGCTTAAATCAACTCATGATATAATTTCAAGCACTTTTTATGGAATGACTTTTTTCCATAAATCACACCATTTCCGGGAAAATTGATGATTAGTCGCTGTACCGACCTACGTCATCAAAAAAATCCAAGATGCCCGAAATGCAAACACCTCCTTTTTTTTCTCTAAGGGCAAGGTGTACCATGACCTCCAAGCCCCATCTAGGTAGCTGTCGCATCGTTAGGGAATGGCGCATCGTTAAGTAATGGCACATCGTTAGGAAATGGCGCATCGTTAGGAAATGGCGCATCGTTGGGAAATTGCGCATCGTTGGGAAATGGCGCATCGTTGGGAAATGGCGCATCGTTAGGAAATGGCGCATCGTTGGGAAATTGCGCATCGTTGGGAAATGGCGCATCGTTGGGAAATGGCGCATCGTTGGGAAATGGCGCATCGTTAGGAAATGTCGCTTTTAATTTTACCTCCGAAAATGCGACCATTTTGGCGTCCAGGAGCTGTTCATGCCCAATCTGCGAAATGAGTGGGAACAATAGCACCAGGTAAGACGCTGAGTGAAAAAAAAAAAAAAAATGATTTGCCTCATATTCGCGGGCAGGTAAGAACAAACTCTGTACTCGATGGAATAGACGCATCCCCACGAATTGACTCGCTAATTCTATGCTGTGGAGAAGCTTTAAGGCACGCCCGGACCCAACTCAAAATTCACAAAACTGGCAACTGATTTTCTTACGTATTTAGTATTTTTTGCAGTGATAGGACATTGTAATCTGTTACAAGGACCTGCCATGAAAAAGTACAGCCAAGAATGCTACCCAAAATTTCATTTATTGGCCCTCAGGCATCGATATGGTGGATATAACTACTTGCCTTGATGAGTTGATGGAGGCAGGTGTGTTCATGGGTGGAGTGAGCGAAATGGTGGGTGAGCTGATCCCTGCGGGAGGGTGAGTTCGCTGCGACGATGACGACGTTGTTGAGACTCGTCGAATGTTGCGTGGCCGCTGAAACCAGCTCCGCGCTGAAGCTCTGGTCGGCCACTACCACCACTCTTCGCGCCGAGCAGCCCTGGATGTCCCGCAGGAACTCCCGCACCGTGTAAGTCTCTGTTTCGTCATACTGAAACCAAAACCAAATCCCTATCTTTAGTAAGCCTTTCAAATAAAAATATGAGTATTCCTACACTTCAGCGAGATACATGCTGAGAAGATCCGATCCGATTCTCTCTATTGTCGTACTAAGGAAAAACACTGAATGAACCTTCCTGCGTTGCCAAATTTCCTTTGATGAAATAGAAATTATTAGCATTTTTAAACCAATTTTTTGGATATTTTTTTCGCAAATTTGCCGAGAGTTCCTAAACATTTCAAGGAAAAATATTCATAACTTTCCTCAAAAATAAACATTTCATCGAAGGAAATTTGGCAACTTTAAATGTTCATATGACGTTTTTCCTTAGCGCAAAGCAGTATAGTCGAAATGAAATTCTGATGGCCAAAATGTGAAACCACTTATCTCCATTGCGGTGTTCCATATTTTTCGCTCCTAATTTACATTATCCGGGGGAAAAAGCTAAATTTTTAGCTTGAAATACAGAATTTCTTGCTAACAGAGAATAAAAATCAAAGAAGTTTTCAAGAAATTACGGTAAATTAAAGTTTGAGAAGAAGTCTGCAATGACGAAGATGGAGATATGTGATTTCGCACTCTGGCCATCAATGTAGTTTACATGTAATACATACTATCCCTGGTAAAAATTGGCAGTAAAATCTGTGTTCCAAAATACCATAGACCTGCGGCCGGCTGTAAGATTTCCAATAGCTTCTATAGCCGGCTACACAATTTCTTATAGCCTTTTATAGCCGATGGCGATTAAACAACTCACAGCCAGGCGATAAAGTGCATGCTAATCGTCACTAATTACGGATGCTAGGTGCTAGGACTTAGTGAGTTTTTGTACTACTGCTCTCTTTTTGGGCCGTGGTATCTTGATTTATTTTGCGAGGAAAGCTCCGTCCTTTTGATGGATGGCTGCCATTCCTAATATATTGGAGCGCCTTCAGTTTCGTATGATACTGTGCAATACCTCTGGTGTGAAATAGTTGCTTCAAGCGCCGAATCACGCTGCGGTGGGGCAGGCGGGCGCCAGTGCCTTCAGTTTCGTATGATACTGTGCAATACCTCTGGTGTGAAATAGTTGCTTCAAGCGCCGAATCACGCTGCGGTGGGGCAGGCGGGCGCCAGTGCGTTGCCGCTCCGCTTTGTGTTAGGCTCTAATATTTAATCTCGTGGAGGCAGCGTTTTTCAACTCATGACTTTGAAATGTTTGCACACTCTGTATGGATTATTCTGATTATAATTGATGAAAAAAATATGTAGTAAAGGGAAATGTAATGTGCGTTTTGTAAATATTAAGGTGATTCCGTATATAAACTTAAGGATTTACAAAGCACACGAATTTCTATACACAATTCCTTATAGTCTTTTATAATCGATGGCGAAAAAGCAACAGCCAGGCGATAAAGTGTAAAGCCCGGCTATATGAACTATAGCCCAGCTGTATAATTTTTTATCGCTTCGTATAGCCCGGTAGTATGATTTTCTCCGCATTCTACAGTCAGCTATATGATTTTCTGTAGCCTTCTTTAGCCGGCTATAAGAATATCTATGGTATTTTGAAACGCAGCTCTTATCGCCAATTTTTACCAGGGATGGGGGAATGGGCCATTCGAGGTTGTATGGCTGGGAAAATAGCAACAAGAGTGGTGCGGAAAAGTAAACACATTGTATCAATCGATTTGATAAAACAAGTTTCTGAGAAATTAAATTGAAAAATGAACATTAAAAACCTGATAAGTGCGATCAGACCCTGCTCACTGTTCAGATTGAACAGCCGTTTCTTTCATTTGAGGAATCCTATGTGTCGCAAGAATAAGCCGAAAATTTAGCAAACATTTTTCAACGAAAAGTTTATGAAACGGTAGCATTCAATTTTTTTTCCTAAACTGACGAACACCGAGCTCATCCTTAGAAATATACCTGGTGGCGCTTAGCAGGTTTTGGAATTCCACTCTTCAATATTATAATAGTAAATTCTCTTCCTTTTTTATCCATTTTATTAATAAATCTCAATAAAAATGGCGTGAAATGGAACATAAACAATATTTCTAAAAAAATAATTAAAATTAAATAAATATATTCAAAAAAGTAAGAGTGAAGAAAATTCCTTCTAAGATACTGGATAAGACAAAGTTTCCCAGCTTTCATCGCTTAAAATTTGAAGCGTGCACGTATTTCCTTCAATTTCGAGCAATGCAACACGCACTACTGTCATGTACTTTCATCCTAACCTGGATGAAGGCGTTTTTAAACGAGCGTCTTTCAGCTTCCTCTACATGACGATACGCCTTCAATGCAAACAACTATTCTGATGAAATCACAATAGAATCTTCGTTGAACTGTTTGAATCGATTTAAATCGACGGTCTTTTTATTCCCAACCGACAACACGAGGGGGAACAGGAGCATTCTAATAAAAACGATATTAAATCTTGTGCGCTGGGACAGGTATTAGAATAACGATTTTTCGATGACAACGTAAAGTTTAAATTAATTTCACAAAGCCGCGCGGATATCTTCAAAAACTAAGTTTTTATAGCTTCAAAGTTGAGGCCCTCTAAACTCCAAAATTACGCGACAGTATTGCGGAGATTGTCAAACTTTTTCTTGTTTTCCTACACGACGCGGAAAACGACGGAGCTGAAACATATAATACGAGGCGATGAAAATCCGAATCAAAATGAAGTATGGTTGTTAATTTTAAAACCGCGCCGTACATAAATATGCCCCCAATTCCCCCTAATTTGAATATTAGGTATTCGCTCCTATTTTTGCTCGGCTTTCAAGCTTTTCCGTCGTATTTCTCACATTGGCAGAATTTTCTTAGGCGGCGTTAGTCGATGTGAAAGGATATAACTCTCCTTTCCTACCCCATCGGTCGACCTTGTCGCTCCTCATCGTGCTAAGGAAAATGCCTTATGAACAATAGAATGTTAGGAAAAATGCCTTATGAATAGAATGTTGCCAAATTTTCCGAGATAAAATGTTATAATGTTTGATGAAAGTTATGTACAATCTTCCCTGGAAAAAAAAACACATTGGATCTAAAGTCCAGACTCTTGAAAACATTGACCAAAAAAAAATACTCTTGATTCAATCAGATTTTTGCTTAAATCAAAAGGAAATCCGCTCAAATTAAGAGGCTTGGTTCTTGATTTAAGCAAAAATCCGATTGAATCAAGAGTATTTTTTCTTGTCGATGTTTTTATGAGTCTGGACTCTAGATCCAATGTGTTTTTTTAATCCAATGTTCCTTGAAATTTTCATGTACAGATACAGTACGAATAAAATTCTCTGAAACACAGAGAAAAAAATACTGACCCATTTTTCCAGGAAATTCCTACTATTATTCCCACTATACTGCACAGGGCCGGCTTAGCGGTCAGGCATCCCAGCTTCTTGCGGGGAAAAGGGCCTGCGCACTGCAGGTTGTATACTTTGCGAATTGAAGGCGGTTCAACCAGAGTGAACTTCCGAGCGCTGTTTTTTTTATCAGTACGGCATAACTCTTTGATCAACCCGAAACGACTTTTGCCTTCGCATAGTAAAATAATTTTATACCTCTTTTTTTCGCTGAGCATAAAATATATTGTAAATGGAGAAGTTCCGTCCGTAATATGCCAATTTTTCCAAAGAATTAGCAGATTTTTCATATTGTCCTAAAGGAGAGTATGTTTAATTAAATGCATTATGGCACAACAGATTCCGTGTTTACCTTGCCGTTTCCATCTGAGTCCCACAGGAGCGAGGCGCCGTCGGGTCTTGCTGGGCTATGCAGATATATGACGAGAGAGTCGGCGCAGTATTCCGTTTCACAGACGGTCCGTAGGTGGTATCGCAGAGCTAGCTTCAACGCTGAGGAATACACGGTCACGTCCAATCCCTCTGAAAAGTCAAAGATTCATATAAAGGAAGGGTTGTTTTGGCAGTGATGTTGAAAGGAGAAGTTTCATAACGTGGGGAATAAGAAAGTATTTCTGTAGTAAACAAACTGCGCGAGCCGGAGAAACTCAGTTACAAAATTTCGGAGAAATCGAGTCGTTTGCATTCTTGCCGTACACACGGAGGAAAAAACTTCATGCGTGGGACTCAAAGTTCAGGTCATGGATCTCTGAAGTTTTCGGATAGTGCATCCAAAAACTGCCAAATGCGGTTCACACATCTTAAAAACGTTGGTGCTTTGGTTGAAATCAACCGAAGTACCGAAACAATTCAGATGTATGACCCGAATTCGGCAGCTGTACCTGTAAGTTTCCACGTGCGCGATCCGGAAGATGCAAAGACCCATGTGACCTGAACTTTGCTTCTCATACACGAAGTTTTTTCTTCCTCCGCACGTGAGGGTCTCCCCAGAACCCTAGTCTATCAATTTTATTTTATCTGGCAGGAGGAACCCAGTGTGTACTTTTTGCTGGGGGCCTGTCCCCTGGAATATTTTGAGCCAGCCCGTCCCCAAAATCATACAGCAGCGGTTCCCAACCGGTGGTCCGCGAAGGCTCACCGAAATTTAAAAGTCGAATTAAAATATCATAAGACCAAAAAAATGTCGTTCAATGGTGGTCCGCGGCCTCCTCTCTCAGCAAAAAGGTGGTCCGCGGCAAAGGAAGGTTGGGGACCGCTGTTATACGGTGAGCTTTTAAATTTGTGTACAATATGAATCGGAATAAGTAAGCGTAGATAAGTATGAGGATCCAAAATTATATGCCTGTGCGGTTGAGCGTCTCAACCCACTTAGGGGGACAACTTCTTACCGCGCCGTATTGCAGCAAGGAAAACCATAGAATCCGTAAGTCCCATTGAGAATTCGAAAAATTTTCCCCCTCCTTTTCCTTTTTTTAAAGTGGCGGGAACTTTGAGGCACAGGTGCCAGGCGCCATGGCGCCTGGCCTTGCGATTCTGGCGCCACAAGCGGCCGCTCGATTTATTTTCTTCTTCTTTTTTCATCTGTTAAGACGATCCTGCCTCATATGCCGACACGAGTCATTTTATACTTCTTTCCTATTCCTGAGAGTGAAAAAAATCCATCTAGGTTTTTTTTTCTTACTTTTATTATTTTTATTTTTTTATACTGCTTCTGGTTTTCAATAATAAACGTTTTACGCAAAGGATGAGGGGCGAGGGGGGGAGGGTGGAGAAAAAATCCCTACACGTGCACCTGTCCCCTTGCTCTCCCTGGATCCCGGTAAACTGAGTAGATCCAAGGGGGAAGAGCTGACTCGGGATTCGGTTTGGTTCAAAAGAGCAAAGTTACGGGATAAAACACCCATCTTTATTTTTTCAAGATCCACGATATGCCTTCATTCGCACATAATTTTTGGGTCACGTTTCGATACAGATGGGGTCTTCTGCCTGGCCCAGTCCGAATGGAGGAATTTGATCCGTGGCTAATTGAATACATATGGGGAGGGGGTGGGGCGCGGGGTGGTTAGCTTAAAAATTCCGAAAAGGGGCTGATGTCGGCTCCACAGAGGACTGAAACCGTAAGTTGATACTTGGACACTTGAGTCCGCCTGAAGGATTCGATTGTTACCTCGCGTTCGAAATCTTTATCGAATGTAAAATTGGACGACGTTTTGCGATGAGGAACTAACTATTCCTCGCTCAATTTAGAAACAACGTGTGTGCCATTTGTTTCCCTTTACAAATAAGTGCTTATACATGAACAAGCGAGAAATAGTAGTTCCTTATTGCAAAATGTAGTCTAATTTTGCAAATATGTATCGATCGAGATCAATCGATAGCAATTCGAGGATCAACCTTTGCTGCCGTCCTAAAGAAGAACGCCGTAGGACCATTCGAGAGTTGCCAAATTTCCATCGATATAATGGTCATTTTTTTAGGAAAGTTATGAATATTTCCCCTTGAAATTTGTAGGACTTTTCGGTGAAATTGAGACCAAAAGTATCTGAAAAATTGGAGGAAAAATATTCCCAAGTTTAATAAGAACTTCGTGTTTTATCAAGGGAAATTTGGCAACGCCTGAAGGTTCATACAGCGTTCTTCCATAGCACGGCAGTGCAGGACCAGACTCAAGCGAAAACTCATACAGATCAGCGCACCGATACCCTGCTACCGGTATTATCCATGGTTGTTCGGTGAAGAATCTTCCTTCGACAGGTTTTTTTTCCTCCATGAAGGAAAAATAAATTAATAAATTAAACCCAGGAGTCAAGACATTGATCTTGACAGCGTAACCCTGCGTAACAATTAGCTACCGGTTTTGGACGTCGATTACTTGATCCGAAGTCACTGTCAGAAATTATTGGTCCGACATGACCCTCGTTCGAGCGAATATAGGTATGTGTGTGTGAATATTTGTATATGTGTGCGTGAGTTTAAGATATATGATACCCTTCAATATACACCGTGCCGCCAGGAGGGCACGGAAACCTGGAGTGTGAACGGTGGGCAAAATCTACTCCATATTCCTGAGGGTCGGTTATCGAATGAACTTGATCGGTAAATCCCTATCTTGGCAATGTTATGTATCGATCAAGGTCATTCGATAACGATTTGATAATCGATCAGCTGAAGTCCGGCAAAGGTGAATTCACGAATTTCACGATATCGATGGCTAAAGTGCGAAACCACGTATCTTCGTTTGCGACGTTGCATATTTCCTGCCGTACTTTATTTTCTCTACCGAAAACTAGTCATCCTGATAACTTGAAATCTTCCACGCTCATTCTGCTCAGTTTGCAAAATATCCTGTATAAATTTCAAGGTAAACAGATAGTTTGTTTCTCTTAAAAATAATAAAAAAGAAGCGGAAATGTTGAAATACAGCAATGGAGAAATGTGGTTTCGCACTTTGGCCAACAATATATTAGTAGCTTTTGGCAAAAAGGATGTAACTTGCATACTTGCATTTGGATGATTTATGCTCCAAACGCTGCCCATCTGGGTAAAAACGGAAATTCCGTTTCATCGCCGAAAAGATTGTTTTATGGTCTCACGCATCATTTACTAATTTTGTAGAGTTAAATTCTATTTTTTTTATTTTACTTAATATTCAAGTCAGCTTTTTGAGGAAAGATACATGTAGAAGTAAAATTGAAGATTGGGTCTGAGTGTTCTTACCCATCTCATCATGGTTCATTCCATTTGCGAAAAATATCTTGATGTTGCTTTCGAGAAACCCATTTTTACGAAGCATATCATTCATTTTGAAAATGTTGCGCAGACTGCCTTCGTCGCCAAGCTGCCGATTCCAACCGCCAGATAGTAGCACCGCCTGAAAACGAAAATTTTATAGGTAGGTACTTAAATTCATTAAAAATTTATTTGATACGATGGACCGAATGGTCCCTTTTGGGCACCGCACACCAAGGTGTTTTTTCTTCTTCTTCATTTAAAATAGTAAACTGGATATTAAGTAACAAAAAAAGGAAATGTACAGTATGTTCTCTGCTCGAATATGTAGCTCGCACATCTCACGAAATATATTTAATGTATTCGGTGAGAGAAATACCAATTCTCAACAATAAAGTCTGAAGATGATCGGCTTAATATTAATATTATAGTGGTTTGTTAGCACGAACTGAACCAGTTATATTCTATTCCCAACGCTGATGTTCCGTATGAATTGAATTTGCATGCAAAGTTGCCCACACCCCATATGAAGGCGTTTTAAGGATAGAGAACGGGCAGTGCAAGGTACCTTGGGGCAGTGAGTAAACCACACCAAGGTGAACCGAAGGATACATTGATATCATCATTGCTTCACACTTTCATGATGTGAATTCTTTACTCCACAATTACTCGAGGCATCTTTACATGGTGCATGTTTATTTAGGTGAAAAGGGATCCTTTTGCATACGAGAAATTTTTCACAGGGTTAAAAAAATCGACATTGAAAATTATGTGGGGAAAAGAAACCTTCTCGGTATTATCGAACAAATAAATTATGAGCAGTTCATTTCATCTTTTCAATTACGAAGAAAACTACCCAGGAAATGAAAATAAAAATATTCCCACGTGTTCCAACAATTCGGATTTTATCAGAGTAAACTTAGTTAAGTCCGAAAGTTCATGGGGCGTTTAACCCTAGCACATGCACCAAAGAGCTACTATTTCCGGCTGATTTTCGAGCCATCAGTTTTTTTGTTTTTTTTTTATGCAAATAGGTTCCTTTACTAATAAAAAAATTAAAATATGATAGTTCCACACTGCAAAATCTAGTCCATATAGTTCATTGATTGATTTTTTCTCTACACTTACGTGATCGCAAGTTTGCATGAAAGGACACCGCGTGCGGACGTAGCTAGTGGTGTCACACTTGTTGGTGTTGAGCAGAAGGGGGTCGCACTGCATGTGGTTGGTCAGGGAGCGAGCGCGAAGACCCGGACAACTGGGTTCGAACCCCGTCATGTTGGACTGACACTCGAGGAGGTCCTGATTCTGGTGGGCCGGCTCAGAGGCGACATGGACCAGAGGTAGATACATCAGCTCACAGTTGTGGTTGCTGTGGGACAGACGCCGCCTTAGGGACTGGCGGTTCCGGTTGTTGCATTTATGCTTCTTCGCCAGGTACAAACAGTCCCCGTTATCTGCGAGACAAAAAGCAAATACATACAATGTTAATTTTATGTAGAAAACTTTTTTTTTTGGAGGGGCAATAGAGCGATATGCATCAGCACCATCAAGTGAGGCTCAACATGGCTTACAATGAGCAAGATTGGTGAACAACATAAGACTTAAAAAGTTAAAACCTCTGATAGCTGACTAATGGTGTTCGGAGAATGCGTTTTTGCCTATCTCGTAAATTGAAGGCAAAATAGCAATGTGCCTTGTCTCCAAATCTTGTTCCTGGATGTCGATGAACTGGCCCTCACCTTTCACGCACGATTACGTTCTAGGGGAAATTTCAATGAAAGTTTACAAAGTTTCATTAAAATTAGCCTAGAGTTTCAATTTTTTGAAATGTTACGGGAAAATTTCATGAAATTTCACCTGGAATTTCCAGATTCTAATTTTTCATGGAAATTTCAGATTCTTATTTTTCATGAAATTTTCCATATTAGTGTTAAATTTGCCATCTCTTCTTGAATCAGGAAAAACCACTATCTGCGTTACTGCTGGTTACGATCGGGGAGGAAGCTAAAATATGTAGAAAAATTTAGATAGATCAATAGATTTTGGAGGGACATGTAAAATACGTTCGCATGGATAGAATTCACGTAATGAGAGGGGTGGGTAAAAAGTATGATACGCAAGCAACAGTGAATTATGCAGAAAATACGTTAACATCCCCTATGAACATCCCTTTGAATTAATTAAACAAAATTAATCAATTGGAATAGCTTTAATACTTGTATTTTATTTCTTTTTCTTTTTTTAAGAATTCGAAATATCATTAAATCATGGAATAGGAATTTAATTTACATTAAAAAAAAAAAAAAAAAAAAAAAAAAAAAAAAAAAAAAAAAAAAAAAAAAAATGAACGGAATAAAAAATATAACCTGTAATTTCCTGTGAGAACTCAGAGTAATATTGTACAAGATATTATATTTTATAAGCAATCCTTGAGTTTATTTAGGCACTTTTATTATCATTGATATTAATGCATGCGAGAAGAAAGTATAAATAGGGTTATTTCATAATAATAAACAAAAATACGCCTAATAACTGAAATACTCCCCAGCTATTGAACGTTTAACTTTAAGATTGGATAAATCTTTTAAGTTAATATTAATTGTGAGGTAATTTCTGTTTTGAAAATTTAAATACGTGAATCCTGTTTTAAGGGAAAAATCTTCCAAATTCCAAAGTACACGATGCCTTTAAATTGCTGTGGGAAGTCATATCTCACTTTCAGCGAGTCTCACTTACATTAGTCGATTATATCGATTTTTACCATTAATTACGAGAAATAAAGGGAATCTAGATAGTTAAACCTCGAAGGAATGAAAGAGCACTATGAAGATACGTAAAACACGGAATAAAAGAATTGCGCCCCCGGGTGGGCTCGAACCACCAACCTTTCGGTTAACAGCCGAACGCGCTAGCCGATTGCGCCACGGAGGCCGGTGAGGGAAGGCGAGAAAATTTAACCTCATGAGCAGTTGGCGCTCTCCCACCAACAGGTGCCGCATGCCGATACTGCTTCCAAGCGCAGCGGTCGTGTGATTCGTTTACAACTCTTATGTGTGAAGCGCGGAAAACACAACATTTTCTTTCCTATGTAATAATGCGAAGATTTACTATTTTAATTTCATAGAATTTCAGGGAATTACGAGAAAATTGAAATAAAAATACCTATATTCCACATTTTTCTCATACTTAAAACTCCATAAATAGCAGCGTACCTCAAAAATAAGAGGGTCGGACGTTTCTTATCGATGGCGAAAATCTCCGATTATGTTGCGGAGTTTTTTTCGTAATTAAAAGGGAAATATTCCTCGGAATTTTATATGAATATTCTTGAATTGCGAGGAAAATTATTCCTTGCGTAGGACGTAAAAGGAAGCAATTATTATCGCTGACTGGAAAAAATTAAACGACAAGATAACACTACGGGGAAATCGCCCTTAGGCGATATTGGAATAGCATGATCAAAATAGTACCACCAAAATGTATAATTATAAAAATGCCGGTCTAATAAATAGATACGTCTGCGCTCTGCGATAGATACCTAAGTGAGTTAAAATTACGGACAGGAAAACTAACTGCGCAATTATAATCTTGTAATACAATTTTCCTGTGAACAATATTCATATTTTGAGACAAAACGTTTGGCTAGAACGTACCAAATGAATGGCAGAGCAGCTTGCATGGGAAAGTCGATGCTGCAGCGCTGTGTGGCGTCCAGTGTTAAGTCGCGTTGTAGTTACGCATAAAGCGCCTTTAATTACGCGAGATACAAATGTTCCTGCATGCGAGGAATGTGGTCGTTCAGTGAGCTCCACATTCCCGCATCCATCCTACCTCCTCCTGCTGGATTTATGTGCATCCTATGGCTCAGAACATTATTGGCCATTCAACGATGGAGGAGAATTTTTTTTTAATCTAATTTGTAGATAATGTCTTACTCGAAGAAAGTGCGCAATTAATAAAAGGCGTGTGCCTTTTTTGAGAAATATCAAATTCCAATGCGACTCAAATACTCAACTTAAATACTCAACAAAACCATCGATTTGCTATGAAGATTTATTTTATCTTAGAGCAAAAACCTCACTTGTTTAATTCAACAAATTTTCTCTTTTTTTTCTCGTTGACTATTAAAACAAAAAGGCCTTTACTTCGGCTCGTCGTCAGAACGCGGCGGTTCAAATCAATATGAACACTCCCCTGAACGAGGCATTGATGACTGAAGTCGAAAGATGCGTACCTGCAATTACGACAACGCAAATCTTCGTCCATATTCATTTTTTCAACCAAAATTTGTAAAGTATCCTCAGAAAATTTCAAGGAAAATGTTTATATTCACATTTCGCTCTACAGTTTCCTTACGTGTAGTAAACAATATTATTGATTTAATTAAGACACTTTACTTAAAATTTACGTTCCCCACACTAAGAATTCCCGAGTCCAAATTTTGCTGTCATAGAACTGAGCGAGACTTCACAGCTATGAGCAGTGATCGGTCCGTCCAGAAAAAATAAACAGTTGCACAACATCAGCAACTTTGTGGTGCACTTGTCGTCCTCAACAAAGCCAAACATGGGGTCTTTCACGGCGTTCTTGGGGTTAACTTTTATCCACGGCTAAAAATAAAAAAAAAAAAAAATAAAAGAAAAAAAAACATCCTCGAAGATTCACATCCTCCGCAGTCCACACGTCAAGCGCGCACGCTTACTTCCTTTGAAAGGCACCGCTCGCTATCTCTAGGAGGCTTTTTTTTCGGGGCATCTCGTGTCACGGAGAGGAAAAATGACCGAAAAACTTTGATGTATCCCCAATAAAATATCGTGAGTGCACAAAAATGCCGTTGAAAAAACACTTGAGTTGTCAGAGATTAGGAGTTAAAATTCTGTCGGCGAGATTAAAGGACCGTGCGTGAGTGTCGTCAGCAACGTTGTCGGATTTAAAGGAGATTTAGAATCTTTCACAATGGCGCGAATCTTCCCGAAACGGCAATAAAACAACAGCTTGGCTCCAACCCATAGCTTCGGGTGAATCTGGAGCAAGCAAAGTTAAGGTAGCGAGTAAATTTTTCTGAAAGACTTAAAATTATTGGCAAAATGGGATCCTCCAGATCAGCGATCCGATCAGTGAAATGATAGACAAACAAAGCTATAGATATAGAAGACAATAGAAAAATGGAGCTATTCTATTGGTTGAAATTGGTGGTCTTTTTTGCTGTGTGTCTATTACTTACCCCATTTGTTGATTGTAACCATATCCATGCCCACCGATAGGATCGTTCCATGTTCTCTCAGTCCTTTTCGTTTGTGGCTTCGTCTATCATTGTCAATAATCAGACCGCTGGAGATACATTTAAGCCGTATATATTTTCAAAAAATCTCTTTTATAGATTCTGAGTTTAAGCTGAAAGTGTAGAGACGCGAAAATAGCCTTTTAATTCGACGCATCGAATGCAATATTTTGGGTTCGGATATTTCCTATCCTTTCCTTTGCGATATCTATGCGATCATTTGTGTACACTCATTTGAACATTATTATATTGTATTATTCAATTAATATATTCATGTTTGGCAAAATTTCAGTCCGCCTGTCTAAAATACACGGAAACACTGAGAGATATGAGAATCCTCAAGAAGTAATAAAATTATTTCAGTATAGAGTTCATAAAATGCATCACGCTTTTCTCCCGATATTTCTCCTAAACCCTCCAACTTCATGACAGATCGATGACGCAAAGGCAAACCCATTCCAATGCCTTATGACGTCATTGACAAAACCACCCCTTCCTTATTTTATCCTGGTTAGGAATCTTCCTAGCCCTAAAAAATTACGCGATACCGAGAAATTCACAGTTATAAAATATCTCCTAATGAGGTCCATTGCCAAAGAAAATTACACGAGAACAGTCACACTTTAAGAGTTAATGGTAGTGTTCCTGGGTGCACAGGGCCGGAGTAAGCGGGTGGCCACATGGGCAGCGGCCCATGGCGGCAAATTTTGCAATTTTTTTAAATGTAACCATAAAGAAAAATCGGATTCAGAAAAAAAATTACGAACGAGAAAAGGTGACAAAATCTCTCATTTCCTGAGAGTATATCTCTAATTTTGCCGTCCTTCTGTGATACAATAGACAGCACCTCTAATTAGTCAAGTTAAGACCAAGAGAGAAACCGAACGCGGAATTTGGCCTGGAACGGCGCAGCGCGGCGCAGAGAGCAATGATGACGAGAACGTGAAATGAAAAGGAGAAACCCTCGGCGCGGCGGTCGGCATGTAACACATTTTAGCGCCTACAAGACTGCATGAATACTTCACGCATTGCGTCAAACACAGTGCGTGCAGCAGCGGTCGGCCCGAAACGCATAGCGCATGTAAGACTGTAGGAATGCTTCACGCATTGCGCCAAACACAGTGCGGTCAGCGCGGCGCGGCAGCGGAAGTTAAAATTATTAAACCACATTTA